AAAAGTAAAGAAATTAAATATGAGAATAGGTGTTGCCATTGACTGCGTGATAGTAGGATCTGGGAGAGGAGCTAAGTTTTCCTGATATTGTGGAGTCAACACTACGGTCAGATGTGGTGTTGTGATAATCCAACGCAAAGAAGTAAGTGTCCAGTATCATACGAGAGATGGATATTATTGGATGAACATTTCAATATTTTGTGAAAAGGTGACATGCATGAATCATCCGTAGCCAAGTCCTGTCAAAGTGCCAAATGAAGGGCGCAAGGTACCAACAAGGGTAGTCATTTGTTTGCTCTTAAAGTTTCGCGTCCCCGCAATACTAAGATCATAGGAAGGCGGTGTCCACAAACGATGGAGCCGCCCAGTGGCAATTGTAAAGTGTCATCTAATCTTATAGCAATATGATAAGGTGGACACGGTTACAACGAATGGAAACTATACGTAAACCCAGCCAAATCAAAGATAGTCCATTTCCGAAATCCATCAATACCGCGTACAAACGCTATGTTTCACTGTGGTGCAAAGGACATGGAAATAGTGGACTCCTATAAGTATCTGGGGATATGGATGGATGAACACCTGTATATGAAAAAAGCTGTGAAAGAGCTTGCAAAATCGGCAAGTAGAGCACTAGGTGCACTCATTGGAAAACATATATCTCTGGGAGGAATGTCATTTGATGTATTCACCAAACTATATAACACGGTAGTGGAACCGGTTCCGATGTATGGAAGTGTCATTTGGGGTACCAAGGAACATGCAGTAATAAATATGGAACAGAACAAAGCTTGCAGATACTTTTTAGCTGTTGGAAAATATGCATCTAACACAGCTACTCGCGGAGACATGGGATGGTTATCATGCTATACAAAACAAAAGATAACATGCTTAAGGCTGATGTGTAAAATCAAAAGAATGGAGGACAGTCGACTAATTAGTAGGATCACGAGAGGGTCATCCAGATATCGGAAGGGATGGTATTTCGCGGTTAACAAATTTATGAATAATATAGATACGGACAATCTAGTGAATAATGAGTTCTATGGAACGACAATAATAACGTGAACGGAAATAAACTCAGAACATATAGGCAATACAAAAATGATATAGGCACAGATAACTATGTGAAATCGGACATTCCACGAACCAACAGGCGATACCTAGCCCAGTTTCGCGCCGGATGTCTTCCGCTAGCAGTGGAGACTGGAAGATATGCCAGGCCGCCCATTCAACTTAATGATAGACTGTGTACCCATTGTGACATGAGGAAAGTCGAAGACGAAAAACATTTCTTAACTGAGTGCAAACTGTACAGTGATTTAAGATATAATTTGCGAAATCAAGCTTGTGGTGTTATAGAGGGGTTCTTAATGCAGGATAGTTACACACAGTTCCTTAACATAATGAAAAATGGTGTACTCCAGCCAAATATAGGTCATTTTATTTTTAACGCGTTTAATCAAAGTAATGAGCATAATATATGTGACATTTTACCAGTACATAATGATATATCATCCGATAAAGTACCAAAGCGGTTTTCTCGCTAAAGTTGGTAGTACAGGAATGGGTAATGAAATACCTTATACTTATCTAACAAGTATGTATATCTATATAATTGGCCTCTTTAAATGTGGTGGCTCTTATATATTTAATGTATATCATTGCCTTTTTGGAGTCTCTAGAGTCAAATTTACTTTGACACCAATATGAAACAGTTATAATATCTTTTACTTTGACACCAATGTGTAACAGTGTTATAATATCTTATGATAAGCTATATAGTAAGCTGACAAAAATATTGGTCTTTTTACATTTGGTGATATCTATATTATTTTAAGATAAATTATTGTCGTTTGGAGTTGCAGAAGTCTAAATTAACTTTGACATCATTGTGCTAGAATAACTTTAGGAAAGTTGTTATAAGTATTGTTCTCTCAAAATGCGATCACACTTGTTCCTTTATATGTTTGGAGTCTCATAAGTCATAATTTACTTTGACAACAATGTATATTGAAATAACTTAAAACTATAAGATATAATAAGTTGACAAATATCTGGTGAAACTTATTCCAAGGTTTATGTAATATTGTCTTTTCAAGTATCATAAGTAAAACTAGCTTTGACAGGAATATGTGGTTATAAGGTATAATAAGCTAAAGTAAGCTGACAAATATTGAGCTTTTTAAAACTGACAACTGTTTTTAATGTATATTCTCTGCCTTTTTAGTGTCTCATAAGTCGATTAACTTTGGCTGGATATTGATCTAATTTTATGTACATTTTATCTGTTTTATATGTAGATCAATATGTGACACTTTAATAAAATAATTTTATTATTATTATTTTTTTATTATTATTATTATGTTACACTTTTCTGACAACGGGCTAACCAAACTTGTGCAAAACAATGTCGAAAAGGTAGAGTAGATCAATAGGCGAGATAAGGAAAGACTAAAGTATCGCATTAGTTTAAACATATTTATTGCCAAAATTAGACAAGGGATTAGGCACAAGTTATAACAACTTATCAACGCCTTCTCGCAATACACATTTGAAATGACATTACAATAATGACAATAAATATATACAATTGTTATTACAATTTGAACTCAAAATCTCTTGCTGGATTTAATCAAGTTTTGCACAGATCTAAAAAAGTTTGATTTAAGTTTCACGGAAAATTGTGAATTGCCAAACAAAAGATTTCTAAATTTAATGCAACATTCAAATTAATCAAATTTTGAACCAAAATACGTCTTTCGTTTGACATTCCATAAAATAGTGAAAAGACATTCTCACAAGGATGACCACGATTACAAGATGCACTCTGAACAAGGTTAACTCTAAAAAGGTCATAACTAAGGGAACTGCACTGGTGTCGGAGCTTGTATGCAAAATATTAAGTTTACGATTTCCGATTTTAAAGTAAATAGGTGGACTTGACTGAATATTTGATGTTAAACAGGATTTGAATGAATTAATAGAGGGTAGGGATCGAACCGAATTTTCTAAGTTATTTCAATAGTGAAGAGTAGAAGGTAGAAAAGAAGAGTTAGTAAGAGATAATCTGATAGGAGGAATCCTATTGTTATTATTGTTACGTACATTGTAAAGCGTAACGATTATTTTCTCCAGATAAAGGCGGCAAAAGATGATTGAAGTAATCAGGAGTTAATTTATTATGCATCTTATACAATAGTTGAAGTTTCCTCCGTTTTCTGCGATTAGATAAAGTTTCAAGACTAGTTTCGTAATATAAAGTATTAATAGGGGTATATGAAGTAAGTCCTAATATAATGCGAGCAGCTTCACGTTGGGCTATTTCTAACTTTTCAGATTCAAAAATAATGCAACCGTCTCACAACTCACAAGCATATTCTAAAACAGGTAAAATAAAAGTCTTGCA